GAAATAAAATAAAATGAAATAAAAGCTTATGGAGAAACCAAGGCGAATGTGGTGAAACAGTGGAAATCAGCGTAATAGCGAGTAGAGCGAGCGAGCTCAAAAATAAACTGGTCACTGCTATGACTAATACAACGCCGTGCGCGAGCGAAAGACTTTCCAGAAACTCTAAAACGCAGCAGCGGAACGAAACGTGAACGCGGACGCAACCAATTTGTTTCGCTCGTCGAGGCGCTTGCAACATTAATGCATGCTTCAACACAGCCGTGATCAATATCAGAGACGAGGAAAGGACGTTCCTAACGACGCCCCGCACGTGGAGGATATCGTCATTGACCGAAGTCGACGCGCATCTCTAATCTCTCCGTTTACGCGCGAGGATAACTTTATTCGATTTTAAAACGGCGAAAAACACTCCGAAAGGCAGCAAGCCCAAACGCGACGCACCGCCGCGCGTTTGTCTTGATGAGAATCGCTAATTGTTCTCGAGATCGCGGCGCGCCGAAGGCGAACGGCTCGTTTGAACGGTGTATCGCGCGCGCGACGCGTTGCACAATTCACGAAACAAGAGATATCGCGCGATATTTAAGGTCAGCTTCTGCGCCGCTAGCGAATTTCGGACTCGTCCGACTCGGCTTAGAGATATCGCGCGATTAGGCGCCGATCCAGCTATAACTCCAAAATATTGCGAAATCGTAAACATCGGCTTGAACCACGGAGTCGATAATTACGACGACGCCACCGTCGAGTAAACGTTTCAAATATAACTTCTAAGATATATCGCTCGCACGCGCCGTGTAACGTCTGGTTAGTTCACCGGTTTTGTTATCACGATAAACAAAGAATGTTTATCAGCAGCGAGATAGATTTCGGTGCGCTGTCCTCTCGTGAAACAATCTGCGACGTTTCTAAATTGCGAAAACTCAATCGCAACCGATATAAAAGAGATATGTAATTCGATCCCCCCCCCCTCCGTTGTACACGATATAATACGATGTAAAATAAGTCACTGCTTTGTAAAATTTTGTTTTTATCATTTCTATTTTCTTGCACAATGAATAAGAAATTATTTTAGATAATGCTTTTAATGACTCACTTTGTAAGCGATTGATAAGTAATTTACGGGCAAGCATGAATTATAAAATCATTTTTTATTCATTAATCTTAATAAAAAAACAGATGAATAAATATAAAAAATGTATGATAAAAAATACATCAATAATGTATTTATTATATTAATGTATTATATCTTTAAATTAAAAAAAAAAATTAAAATGTAACAAGATTTAAATTTTAACAAAAAAAGCTTAAAATGAAATCATAAATAATCATCGATTTCAGAGCAAATTATTTAAAAATCAATAAAAAATTATTTCAAATGGCAATTTTTAAGGACTGCATATTTGTCGAAAATTCGCGATAACTTTGATACAAATCGGTTTTCAGGAAATCCAGAAACTACTGACCGAGAATTTTCTCCGGCAATTTTCAACGTCATCCTCCACGCTCGCTCGTCGTGTGAAAATAAGAAAAATGCGCAAACACGTATCGCAATAATATCGTAAAGCGTATTAGCTATCTCGTTTAGCCGCAACCTCGAGAAAGCAAACTCAACACAGCATGGCGAAAGGGTTAACGAGCTTTGCCGAGCGCAACATCGCGACCGAGGTGTGAACAGATTAGATTATCATACCGTGCGATATTCCACCTGTTACGAATATCATCACGGCGGCTACGTAGATATTATGGGGTAAAATTAGGCGCGATGAAGATGGTGATATATATCGATTGGAGTAGGTATGCATCCGTGCATTCTCCGCGCACTCGACGAGCACGCGCGTACGAGAATAATCTCGATGCCGCGTGCTCGCGCCTCGACGCGATGCGATGCGGACTTCGCATTTTGCGAAGGACCGCGGGCCAAGAAACGCGTGTTCTTGATGTTTATGCTAAAACGAGACCTCGATTCGAAACTTTGATTTTCGTTCGTCGGTATAATTTCAACTGTATCAAAACTGCGTGACTTGAAGCAGCGCCAATGTCACAAACTTCTTGAAGAAATACATATCACTCGCGTAAATAAAATTTATGGAAAACGTATACGAGACAACACACGTGTGCAAATTACTTTAAACCGCTTTGAACCTAAGCTGCGAAGTCGTATTGACTTTTATTGGCTGCGGATCATTTCAGTTTTAACGCTACTTGCGGCGATCGTAATCAAATTGTTTTAATTGCCTTTATTATGCCTCTTGCATCTTTTTCCCCGGTCCTTGCGTCGCATAGTTCATCATGTTTCGATGTAATATCGCACGCCACGATGTGTAAACGTACCGCGCCGTTAGCTTCACTCGCCTGTTCGCGTCGCCGCCGCGAGATAATTCTGCCCGGTACGATAATTAAACGCACGATGTATTTCTCGAGGCGCATATCGATTCGCCGTCGCCGTCCCTGTATCTCTCTCCCGGGGAGCCTCTTCCACTCGCCGCTCTATAATAATAATCCCCGAAGCTCCACGAAACGACCTTCGAACCCGCGGCGTCGCGTTTATCGCGATGAATAAAAGAATTATATTGCTGACGTGCTATCGACCGCGCTGTGCAAAAAAATCCGGTAATGCGTATAAAAGAGAAGAAAGGGGGAAAAAATATATAGGAACTAGCATCGACAAAGTATCGAGAACTGGAGCGCGCTCTCCTCACTTTGCAGTCGAGGAGTACAGCGTATCGCAAGATTACGGAGTTAAACAACAAACGTCGATTACAAGCGCTGACAGCGCGTTGGCGTTAATTAAACTTTCTTCTCTCTATCTGCGTTATCTCTCTCGGGCGCACCGAGCTCCCGCTCTTTGCGAGAGAAAGAAACGCGTCATTTGAAGCAATTATCCATCAGATTTTGCGCAAAAAATCTACATTTTTTCTTTTAACTTTTACCCATCAAAGATCTCTATCTCGACGAGAGCGGCGCATCGAATCGCGTTGTGAAGCTATCGCTTCTATCTGAAACGAAAAATGCTCGTTCGGAATTCTCGTCGCCGCCGCCGCAATTCGCCGATCGGAATTAACAGAATCGTCGACGTAACTGACCTTCGACAGAGGCGAAAACGACTCGTCACGTTTCTCGCTATGTCGCATGACGAGCTCTCCTCTCGCAAAATTGTACATATCGACCTGCGCCCGTGCGTGCGTCAGTGCGAGATCGCCGTGTATATAGAGTTCGCCCGCTTTTATTTTTACGCGCGCGCGTTAAGACGCTCCGCTTCGAATTCGCCGCGAACGTCGCAGACAAGTGTGCGACGACTCAATTAACACTCTTTCGCTGTCCGTCGCTCTACTTCTTCTATCTCTATCCCTCTCTTCTGTTCACTCTCTTTGTCTCCGCGGCCCTAGATTCCGCCTTGAGGAATCATCACGGAATGAGGAGATTCGAGGTCCCTGCGAAAGTGCGACGCACTATTTGTAGAGCAAGAGATGAAAAAATAAAAAGGAAAAGAAGTAGAGAGAATAGACGAAGAGGGAGGAAAAAAGGGGGGGAAAAAAGAAAAAAAAGATCGCTTATTCCGCGCTTCGAAATTCTTATACCTGATCCGACCCTTATACACTCTGTTGCACCGTAATAATCGACGCTAAATAAGCTTAGACCGGCTCTATTTTTTCTTCTTCCATTATTCTAGCAGTATTCTATAGCAATAAAAAATAAGCGGGGACTTTTATATTTGGACCGTGTAATTATTAAAGCGACATCGCCACTACTTGACAATTTCGCAGCAAGATTCACGGGATTATTTCGCGAACGTAAATAACGGGGCAGGTGTAGACGAGTGTCTTTGCAAGCGGGAGGGAAAGAGGCAGATAGAGCGAGAGAGAGTGCGAGAGAGAGGGAGGGAAAACAAAAGGAGTAGCGACGAGCCAGGCGGAGCGGCTCGGACGAGCGTGGCGGCGCGGCCGAGCACGCGAGAGAGCGGGATAAAGAGACGCGCTAGCTCGCGCTCGTCTACGCGCACATACACGAACACCTAGGAGTCAGCTGGTTAAAAACAGCTGTGCCCAAACATCGATGACGGGTTAAATGTCTCCGCGATGGCTGCGCAAAAGCGAGCGTCTGTCTTCTCGGAATCATTCGCGAGCTTTCTCGCGCCGCCAGCATGGCGATTGCTACAGTCGATCGCGCTCGATAAGCAAACCAGCGTTTTATCACACACACACACACCCACACACGCTCACGTAAGGTGCTGAAAAACTGCATGTGTTATATGTATAAACTTTGATAACTTTGTAGACTCAACACAAAGCGACAAGGCTAAGATAAAATCTCTAATTAAACCACTGTTTCAATATTTGCAACTTTATGAATTTGCCTGTAATTTTTATATCATTAACTTGTAAAGAATGAGAAAATAAAATTTCTATATATATATGGGTTTTAATTTATAATGATATGTATAAACTTCAGAATAACCTTTGTAAACTTAACGCAAAGCAATAAAGCAAGAAGCAGAAAATAAAGAACACTCAACTATTGTTGAATATTTTAAAGTTCGCCAATAAATTTTCATTCAATTAATTCGCAAAGTGAAACGAGAACGAAAAAGAGGAAAGTTCCAAGAAATATGAATTTCGAGAGGTTTACGGGTTACTCCACAAAAACAAACAAGAATTCTTAATCCTTCTTTACATACAACAAAAGTCAAATGAGATTTGAACGTTTAACCGTCCGACATTCAATATTAAAAATCGGGAGGCCGTAAAAATACCGTTTATTAAATTTTCACGAGAGAGGGGGGGGGGAAGTGGTTTTTGAATAATACAAGGAGTCCACAGGCGGGATTTGTTTATACAGTTATTCAGCACCTTGCGAGCGCACGCACACAGGAGGAGGCGCATTGTGATCGCGTTTCGCTCTCACGTGCGCTCCACTAATATGCAAAAAATGAAGGATTACATGAGGTACTTATCGGATAGTCAATCGGAGAAGGGGGATCTTTAAAGCGGCTCCAAGGATACAGTTTGATAACGTCCGTGTCCATACGTCGCTTGCCGGCGCTGGGGGACGACATAGTTATCGGTGCTGCTTGATCGTCGCGGTGCTCGAGTTCGGCAGGAACCGTTCCTCGCCCCGCAACGCTGCTGTTAGCGTCCACCTTCTCCTCCGCCTCTCACGCTGCGCGTGGATCAGCTGAGCCCGAGCGACGGTCCGTCCTGCCCCGGGAGGACCCTCTGGGTAGCGCTTCCACCGGGATGCCCTTCTTCCTTTTTCCGTGTGTGTATATGCGCAAGGGAGATCCGCGACGAGCCCTTGGTGCGTCCGTAGTTCAGCACTGTAGAAACGCGCACTTCTGTCCCCAACGATAATGTAAACCGAGCGTTATATTCAGCACACCGACGGAGCGACCGACAGAGAAAGACAGAGAGAGTCAGCGAGAGAGACGAAAGAGAGGGGGGTTAGGGGGGGGGCGGCGCTCACTTGGGCAGAGAGAGACGGAGACAGACGCACACGAACGTCGCGGACGGACGGAGGGATGAAAGAAGAAAAAAACAAAGACCGTGCTCGCGCAAGCACGAGCATCGAACAGCCGATCGACCGAATCCTGGTGCGAAGCTTGCCCTAACCCGAAGGGCGAGTGAACGCGCAACGCGATTACGATTCGACGCGAGTAAACACGACGTGGAATAATCCGCCAGCGAGGTGAAAACGTTGTCGACTGTTCGTCTGCGTTTTGTCCCGTCCGTCTGTCCTTTTCGTCCTTCCTTCCTTCGTTCTTCCTTTCGCACGAAGCGCGTTGTAAGCGTCGCGTGTGCGACTTTTCGTGTACGATTGTATATGTGTGTATGTACGTATAAGCTCTGAGCGAGCGATCCGTCTCTCTCTTGCTCTCGCTCTTTCTTTCTCTCTCTCTCTCTCTCTCTCGCTCGCTCCGCTCGCTCTCCCGCAGAAGAAAAAGCTCGACTACTACCAAGGCAAGATCGTCGCCTCCTGCTCCGCGTCCACCACCTTCTCGTCGTCGTTGTCGTCCCTTTTGCGCAGCCAGGCCGCAGAATACGGAGCTAAAGAATCATCTCGTCACCGATGACGAGTCCGTCGCGTTCGTCGACTGCCGTGTTTCACACTCGCTCTCTCTGTCTCTCGCTTTCTCTGTCGCTGTTTTTCTTCGCTATCCTTCTCGTTCGCGTGCGCGTACACACGGAAAAAAGAACTATCCTTCTGTGCCAGAGAGAGAGCCTGTGCCAACCGTCGTCGCGTAAACGCCTGTTCTTTCGCTCTCGCTCTCTCTCTCTCTCTCTCACTCTCTCGTGCACCCCGCGACCTGTCAATCCGCGATCTTCGCCAACATCTGATTCCGTTCTCGTCGCTTGCACACTGGACTCTCCTGGTTTGGCCGACGCTGCTGCCTCCGATGAGCAGCAGCAGCGACATCCATTGCACATGCGCGTGGGCGCGCTGGAAATTTTTCGAGCGACACCAGCGACGCTATCGACGAACTTTATAATGAACTTACTAGACGCGCCATTTTTTTTCTTTTTTTCTCTTTTTTCTCTTTTTTTTTTTTTGTTGCGAAAATAGAGCGGAAAATTTAAACGTCGATTTATCATATTTTTTGTTATTTGTGCAACGCGTTTAAAATTTATTCGCATATTACCATTTAAATATTTATGCTGTCGAATGCATCACGTGTCATATAACATATTGAAATGGCTAAAACAAATATATTTATTTAAAAAATGTATAAAAATTATTAAATTATATAAATGTTGATTGATACACAAGATAGATATAATATTCAGTTGCGCCAGGATACTATAAATACAATTATTTTCGGTACAATACAATACATAATACAGTTCTTTTTAAAGATTATAAAACTGTAATAAAATTTTGTTGACTATTAAAAAAATTATTCAAAAGCCTTGGATCATTTGATCACTGGATTGCTGTTGAAGTAATAATTTTAACTGATTATTCATATAAAAGCAAAGTAATCTTTTATAAATTCCAGATATATGTCTAGTTCAAATACCATTACACTATTTATGCGATTAATATATGCTAACATTAAATCGATATTATGGAGAAAGTCTATTGCATATTACTAATTACTTTGTGATCAGTGTCTCCTGAGTACTACAGTAGATATCTCAGTGTTACATCAAATACATATAATTATCTGTAAAGTGTTATCAAATAGTTTTTGATTTAAATTTTGATTGTAGATTCATGTAAAAAATCCTAACGTCTTATTCATAGTACTGAAAATGAAAGACTTGTATTAATATCTGTAACAGTAGAAATCTGACATTGTTAAATAGCAACCTTAAGTAAATTGGCACATATCTTGTAAGATGTTTTTTCTATCAAAATGTATACCCATAGTAAATAATGAATACTGATTCTTAATACTATCGAGCATGATTGTTTAAATACATTGTGCTACAAATAATAGATGAATGCCCAATAATGATATGTATAATAATAAGATATACGAGGCTTTCCTAATACGAATCGAAGTAAGAAATACATTCTTCTCTTTATATCCTACGAGTAATATATGACATCATAAGAATATACTTTCAAGTTCTTAGTATAAATTCATTGTCTAAATCTTTCTGATTAACTGTAATAAATCACGTACATGAACATCTGAAATATTTATAACATTCTGCAAGGTAGAGATGGAATGCTACAATACTTTCAAATTTATGTTAGTAATTAAAAAAATTACTCATTATTTAAGTGTGTAATAGTCACAATTCTTATGCTAATAGATAAATCACGTTTATGTAAAAAAGCTATAAAAAAAGAATTAAATTATTATAAAGATATTATCATATCTTCTTCTTCATTCTTTGTAAAATATAAATATTATAATTATAATACTGAAAGAAATTTTCTAAATTAAAATAATGTAAAAAATATGACAAAGAAGAATTCGTGATTTTTTTCTGTCAACATCAAAACTTCATCAACCTCCATTAACAAACAAAATATGTCTTATCTACTAATATAAGCCTTGTAAGATATAATTCTCTAACGTGATAACCTACATAAAGTACAGTAGTACAGCCATATAAAATCATGAGTCCTATCCTAGTTACAGATCAGCTACTATTTATTACATAGTCATTTCATCTCATTTGCATATAATATATGCAATATATTTGACAAATATTTTACCAAGTAATTTTAGAAAGTGCCAAAAATATTATTGATATTACAATTGTTAAAAAAAGTATTACAAAATAATTTCTATCATTTAATATCAGTTTTTTACTTATTATTATTATTATTATTTATGTTATATAATTTTTATATAAATAGTATAAAAAGATAGTATCGAAAATTCCAAAGTTTATGACAAATATGAATGATATTTATATGACGAAATCTGGAGATGAAATGACTTACTTAATTCCTTATCGTAAGACAATATACTACTACAATATGTTAGATATACAATATGTTAGATATACAACATTAGATATACAAAAACGACTGGAAGCAATAAATAATCGAATTTGGCATATAAAATTGTATTACGATAAGAGTATTATCAGTCATTGTTCCTAATAGTGGAAAATCTAAGTACAATTCTAAGTGTAACAATTAAGTACATTAAGTATAAGAGTTTGCCGTTCTCCTCCTGTTTCTTACAAATATATATATAAATAGAAATGTGTACCTACTTTACTCTACTGCTGTTTTTCGTGCAAATGCGGTTAGAGATAGCATTTCATTAGGGTCAGTCGGCAAGGGAGAAAATTCAATTTCTTCGCTAAGACTGTTTTCTGAAAAATTAACATACAATACTTTTCTTATTATATAATATAGCAAAATTTGATAGAGTTTTACATCCATTAGCATAAAATAATACATCCCAGATGCATGCTTTATATAATTTGAAAACATAAATATATGTTCTTACCAGATGGTTCAATTGGCCATTGCTTGTGAGAAGGTGCATAGAGGCATAATAATGCAATGATATAGATGTTCCACATTCCATACACGCCAGTGAAAAAGGCAGAAGTCATTTCCAACTGTAATTCTTCGTCCCATTTCCATTGACCTTCTGCAACCTATTTCAAGAAGAAACGTTATAGATAATTAATGTAATTATGCACTATTAAAAATATTTCGTTAACTTCTCATACCTGTCCTAATATAAAGCCAATAACAGTCAACGATGCGCATAATAATGTTGCTATCATCAAGAATTTGAAACGGTATATAACTCCTTCGTAATGCAGTCGCCGTGCCGAGCTCATGCTGGGTAAAACCGCTCTCTTCGCGCTAATGTTCATAAATACCTTCCATATCATATAACACAAAAACAGCAAGTACACTCCAGCTGATATGCCAGCAAGAATTATGAAAGATAGCTATTTTTTATTTAAGGAAACCAATTTGAAAAATTATTTTAAAAACGACTTCGTTGAAAATAACTTAAAAAAAAGACTTATTAAAATGTAAGAAGTTTAAAGAAAGGATACTGCCAATTTTGTTCCAAGATCGGTAACCCAAATTGAGTAGAATGGATTTCTCAGTTGTACACCACGTTCGCACATATCAAATACAAAGAGCGAGAGACATCCGGTACCTACTGCAGAAAGATGCCGCCAGTAGCATTTCAATGAATTACTTTGTTCACCCTCCTAAAACATATATTACCAAAGTTATTATCTTCCAGTAATATATAGAAGTAAAGTTTTTAGTCAATAAAAAGCTTACCTGAATCTAATAAAATATAAGATGTACACATGAAACAAAAAAGAGAGTATGGGTTATTGTTAGAATAATTATAACAATGACAATTTTAAGATAATAAAAATCAATTCTTACCATTAAATGTTCACCTGCAAATACAAGCCAAAATGACAGCAAAATCGCATAAAATACTCCTTGTCGAATGTCACCCAGAAGTAGCATAAATGGCATATCGTAAGCAAGTGTTAGATATTCCAGAGGTACTAAAAATATAATATAATAATAATTAACAGATAGTTACTGGCATATAAACAATGTCTATGAGTAATAACATATAAAGTATATAGTAATTAACGTACGATTCAAAAATGTTAACGCAGAACCCAAAGCTAAGAGCATGTATTCCAAGAGTGCGGGTGATCTGGATAACATATACACTCTCTTCCAATACCAAGCCAAAACACAAAGCACTATTGGGAAGTAAACAGTCTTTAGACTCACCCATACTTTCGTGAATCCACCATTTTGATTAATAGCCTATGATCACAAATAATTTATTTCATTAAATAATCTTTATCAACATAACTGATGAACATTATTATAGGAATTTTATATTCTGATGCTTACTGTAAGCCAAAGATCGACAACATGTCCTAATCCTTGATTCTTGTTTATATCGGAAGGAAGACGAATATTTAACAAGTAATAATCATGGTATAATGAACCTAGTTCAAACAAGGGCATAACACTACAATTGTAATTATAATGGTCCACTGGCTAGAATAATACAAAATTATAAATTAATATTTGTATGATTATTATGTAACAAATGTGAAAAACAAACATGCAATAATAGTATTACACAAGAGAGAAGGCATTTTTACCTTGTCTATGCTGCAATCCAAAATTCTCTCCACAATCGAAGCAGCATATGGTTTCCATTCATCATCTGGATCAAGCTTATTTCGATACGCTAGCCGTGCGTCCAGTGTTACTTTTGTCCTAGGAGCTATAAAAAAAGTTATCAGAATAGGTGGTAATAATTTTAACAACAGTAAATACGTTACCAATTTCAATTTGCTTGATGTAAGAAATGTCCACTTGTAAAACGCCTATTAAATTTTGTTGCCATCTCGAATAATCAAGCTGCAGACTGTTCCGAGGAACAGGCATCTAAAAAAAAAAAGATTATTAGACTTATATAATTTCAAACTTTTGTAATTACTATACAATATAATTTTATTAGATTATACCTGAAATGCATATACAATTTGATAAGGTTGCTCATGAGTGTCTAAACTAAAGTGATGCGTATCAGCTGGAATACAAGAACCATTTCCTCTTGAATAAAACCACTTATTTTCATCAGGATGAGAAGCATTAACACGAATGTCTTTGCATGGTGTGCCAAGAATATTTTGACTACTGGCAGGTGTTGGAGCTAAGAAAAAGATATATATTTATGTTATGAATTATATAAATTATGTAATAGATGCTCACTCTGTTATAATTTTTATAACTGTATTACATATATTAAATAAAATTCAATAAAAACTGTGACAAATCAAATTAGCATCTACAACGCTCATTTAATCTGTTGCTCTCTGCGTACTATAATAAACTAATCATATTCTTGAATATGAGAAACTGCTTAGGTCTAACTCCATCTAGTATGTGTATAGCTTACATCAATGTAAAATACAAAATACTCTGAATAGTTTCAGCAATACACGCAGTCTGAATGGAAAATTGAGCAAAAACAGCACGAAACTATTAATATTAGACTAATTTTAATAGTATTAATATATTATAATAGTATATTTCAATAGTATAAATATTATTATATTAGACTAATTTTTCTGATATTTGTGCCCGGCTATTTTAAAAAAATAATATTTATTCTAAGATAAAGATGTTGTGTATATCGTTACATCTATCGCCACATGTTTCACATAAACTACTGCAACAGATAGTTCTATACTTTATTTCATTTCTCTTCATTATTTGCATTAATTTCATAAAAATTTGTCATTTTACTTACAGATTAACACAGATACAAAGAAATTTGATAAACACAAAGAAATCATAATTAAGTAATATCCAAAATCATTAAAATAATTATTTTATTATATAAATCTATATAAATAAAATGCAAAATATAAATAAAAAATATATGTTTACATTGTATTTGTGGCGTTATATATCATTATACGAATAGAGATAATGAAATGTGCACATATAGATGATTCGTAAAACATAAAAATTCATAAAAAACGTAAAAATTTATTGCATTACGTACCAATTAAACCGCCTATCAGAAAGCAAACTATTTGCGCGATTATCAAAAGTACCACTAGCACTGAGAGCTTCTTGCCGCTCAGGTTTTCGATTATTGTCCCCTGCATTTTCCTGCTGTCGCCTGCTTTTGTCCACTGTACTGCACCGTACAATCGCGACCGCACTCGCGATTGTATTCACGATCTTATACGCGTTTAAGAAATCTTTAAAACGCACTGACGCCGAAACTAACCGGATCACAACGTGGACGCGAACAACAATAAACTCGCGTTTCGGAGCCGGGATCGTCTTTCAAAATGGAGGCCACCGATACCAACCAAACAAAATGCACTAAACTTTGCTGCATTTCTGAGGGTCCACAAAAATACCTTGCATAATTGCACAATACATATGCCTAGAGAAACTGACCAATCACACATCAAACATAAAGAATGCAGTATTAAGATGCTCTTAACGTTTAAAACATGATTGGTTGATTTTTCGGAGAAAATGCGTAAGCTAGTTTGAACATAACTTAAAATTCAGAATTTAGAGATATCGAATTAACAGGCAGCTTTGTTAACGGACACGCCGATCTACGTCGCGATGTTCGTGCATTCCAGCTTGCATTGGTGTAGTAAAAATAAAAAAAATAATTATTCTTCCATTCACTAAGCGTCAGATAATATTGAACTCACATATGAGCTGTGTCAACAATGATCGCGTTCAACGTCCTAGACAATATTTGTACAGGGAATTCTGATAATGGTGTGATTTCTCGCTGAATGTTCTCTGTTAAATGATTTTAGGTTAAATATGGTAAGGATATCAGCATTATTGAATGTATACTGATTTGTATTGAATGCATTTTATTTTTTTGTTGTTAGTTTTTGTATAGAATATATATGTATACTTCGTGTCATTACATGTGCAATCTTTAGAAATGTTTCTAGAAACCAACAACATAAAAATTACATATTACAACAAAATCAAGTATGTCACAATAGTAATGCAATGCTGTCTGTGCGCCAATTTGGGTTTATTATATATTTTATTCTACTTTTGTTACCCATAAAACATTTTCTTTTATCTATTTTTTTATATATTTGTATTACTGACATGAAAAGTAGATCATTAGATCATTAGATGTAACATATGCATGTAATATAAATAAAACATTAATAATAAAATACTAAGCAAGATATAAATTATTCTGAGAAAGTTTTTATATCATTTTCTCCATCAAATATTAAAAGTTACATTTATAAATTGTTGTAACCGGAATAACTGGTATGACAAAAACATTTTTGTTTTATTATATTTTTCTTTCTTTTCTTTTATCCTTGAATGTCTTTGTATACACTTATTTTTAGTACAGGAAGTATAAATTGTGATACAGCTAAAAAGAGAAGCCTGTTATCTCTGTCTATTCTATTTATAATCTTTCACACTTTTGCACTTTGAATGAAATATGTATGATATTAACTATAAAAAAAATAATGATATATTAATAAGAATGTAAACATGTTAAAAAACGAAACAAAAAATGTTAACTAAATTTTTTTCAAATTTTTATCAATAAAACTTATTTTTACTCTCATCTTTAAATAAATTTATATAATAATCGAATTACATTGTCCTAATTGAATAATATGTTTAATTTTATCTTAATGCGCCTTATTATTGGTGCAGAATATTAATAATTGTTAATAATATATAAAAATATTTGTTCGCTATATATATAAAGAGTTCGTAATTGATTTTGCCAAAATAAATCATCTAATATGCATAATTATATAAAAATTTCATCGAAATAACGTGATTTAAGCGGGCAAAATCTATTTTCCGAAATTCCGACTATATTTTGCGAAGATCGATCGTGTAAAACATGCACAAGAAAATCCAATAACTATGTAAGCAGAAATCCTCATTGTAAATCGGGGTTAGAATGTGACGTAAGTGGGGAAACAAACAATTTATAGTGCAGTTTGTCGCTCGAGAAACTAGACGACGTAAATGTCAAAGGACTTGTGAATGATACGATTTGTAACGCGGATATCGCGATAGATCATCGTACTGATTGTGATGGTCTAAACAAGAATATCGCGGCCGAGGCCCATCGCGAGAAAAATGTTGTGCGACGTAACGATGGATGCGAACGGGAATGGGAAGCGTGATCCTCTCCATGGGGGTCCCTTGTACTCC